CCAGCAGGAAGACTTCCATCCCCAGTTGAAATAGTGACTATCGCAGACTGGGGAGGGAGTCAGAGCATAAGAGGATGATGTGTAGGCCAGATATGCCCCTGGCTGTCCTCAACCAGCACAAGTGATATACCCTAAACTTCCCTCACCTACACTGAGCACAGCTCTCTCATCCAGATCCCTTTTAAGTTTTTAAATTGAAGATGTAATATATGCATATGATTTTTTTAAACGTCAGAGCACAAAATGCTATACAGTCAAGAATGTCTCCCTCCCACACCAAACTCCCAATCCCTCATCTCTCCCACCCCAGAGCCAATTTACTCTGTGTTTTTCCAGGCGTATTTTAGGCGTATACAAATATAGTACATTTTCGTATTTTCATACATACGAGAACACCATTTTTGGTTTCCCACTGAATATCTTGGAGAGTATTCCGTAATTGTACTGATGCATCCCCCTTATTCACTTTTTTCTTTCATCTTCTTTTTTAAACGTGCATAGTATTCTTGATATAGATACGGCACTAAGTATTTAACCAGAGCCCTTCTGGTGGAAATTTTATTTCCTATTTCCTATCATAAGCAATGTGGTCAAACATATCTACTGGACATACTGACTTCTATATTTCTATGAGACAGAAAAATCATCTCACATCTTAGAGTTGGAGGTCCAACTCTGAGGCCATCCTTAGGGTCTAACCTGACAATCCCGGGGAAGGAGATGGGAAAGCTACATTCTAGACCTGTCTCCACTAATCACTTCCTTCGCACTCAGGCACCAATTCCTTCATCTCCCTGTGTCACTCAGGTCCCTTGCTTGTCAGGCAGTAGGGGTACATGTGTTCAATTGCCTCACAAGGGCATGCTGAGAATCAAATGAGACTAGGTACACGAAAGCTGGTGAGCACTGTGCTGATATACAGTCTCTTGCCGGGTTATTGGCCAAACCTACGGTTGATATGTTGCTCTATGACCTGTGCCCATAAATCCTCAACATGCTGCCTGCTGCACCCAGTGTTCCTTCTAAAGGAAACGTACCCCTCCCCGCCCCCCCCCCCCCCCCCCCCACACACAGCTCCTTCTTATGGACAACCCTAGGCTTCTGTGCACTGTGTGTCCCTGCCTCCTCCAACCTTCCACTTCACCTCGGGACTGAACCCGGCTGAGGCACACTGACCATATGGGCTCCCCAGTGGCTAGAATGATAAGCGCTGCCCAAATAGAGACAACCCAAGTCATTCTGACTCTTGCCTTTGGAAAAGTCTACTTGGAAGTCATGAGTGACTAAGATAGGACAAACATAAGACAGAATACATAGCGAGAGGCCATACAGTCAGGGCCCTGAAGGGCTGTTTGAAGCCACAGTTCCCAAATACGCTGAAGCTCTGAAGTGGGAAAAAAGTGAAGGATGCTGGTAGAAAGTAAGAGGATACAGAGACGCAGAACCACCAGAAGCAGAGCATTTGAACAGTATCCAGCTCAGCTGCTGAATCCAGCACAGCAAGGCCCTGGTGAGGCCCGTCAGCCAAGTCCCTGGTGGGCTCCTGTGTGATCCTGTCTCCCTTGTTCCCTCGTGGGGCTTTACTGTACCCCGCCTTTCCCTGGGTGCAGTGGAGGAGGGAAGACCCTCTTCATGCTGTCGAAAGTGCCAAACCAGGTCAAGGCTGGTGAGACCCATCTCCCCAGCCTCCTGTAGAGTCCCCCAAAGGACAGGTATGTGAGGATCTTACCTTGGGGGCAGGGGAAATGAGAGTCATAGGCTCCATTTTGCTTTGGAATATACTGCTTTGCTTAGTGACCTCATGGAGGTCAGCCTCCTGAGAAAAGGTCAGAGTTGAAAGGGGCAGAGAGCAGAAATGGAGAGGAAATTAGATAATAATTAGCCGGTGAGGTTTTGCTCATGCAGATCCTTCCCTCTAGTCCAAATGCCACCCACCCTTCATGTCCCCTCTTCCACTAAACCCTGTCTAGCCGCTCTAAGCATATCAGCCTCGGTCTTCTTGATTAGCGTGACTACATTGCCTTATGGGCCCCAACTCTTCATCCTGCCCTGTAGCCATACCGTATGTCTTTTACCATGTCTTCTACTATATGTCTTCCCAGTTCTTCCCACTGAAAAGGCAGAGTACATTTCTCCCTCCTTTGACTTTGGGTTTGGCCGTATGGCCACCTTATATTATTGGCCAAAGCCAAGAGTATAAGATGGAGGTGATGGTGTGTCAGTTCCAAGGACCCTTGTGCTTCTTCCATTGCCATGAAAAGAGCATGTGCAGGCTAACCCCCAGTTCCCAAGAACAGGATGGGGGACCTGTGGAAGGAAGTTGCCTTGGGCAAGCCCCCTGGTTGAGCCCAGCCTAGATCAGCCAATTCTTAGATGCATGAGCCACATACATGTTCATTGTTTTATGCCACTAAGAATCTATGGTTGTTTGATAGATCGCCAGTACAACTACCCATAACACTTATTATGCTTTTTAGTACCTGGTGATTTTATTTTATTTTTAATTTTTTAATGTTTATTTCTTTTTGGGAGACAAAAAGAGATGGAGCATGAGTGGGGAAGGGGCAGAGAGAGAGAAGGAAATACAGAATCTGAAATGGCCTCCAGGCTCTGAGCTGTCAGCACAGAGCCCAACGCAGGGCTTGAACAACCTGTGAGATCATGACCTGAGCCGAAGTTGGATGCTTAACCGACTGAGCCACCCAGGTGCCCCATTGGTGATTTTTTTAAGTTTATTTATTTACTGAGAGAGAGAGAGAGAGAGAGCTCTAGGGAGGGGCAAAGAGAGTCAGAGAGAGAGAATCCCAAGCACTGCCGGCATGGCACCTGATGTGGGGCTCAAACTCATGAACCACAAGATCATGACCTGAGCTGAAATCTAAAGTCAGATGCTTAACTGATTGAACAACCCAGGCACCCCAGTACTTGGTGACTTTTAGTGATGGTTCATTATTTGGTCATACATAATTGTTTGGGTAGGTCTCTCTTAGTTAAGATCACCAGATTTAGCAAATAAAACTACAGGATCCGCAGTTAAATGTGAATTTCAGAAAAATAAGGAATCATTTTTTTTTTAATATAAGGGTGTCCCATGCAATTTTCAGAACATATTTATACTAAAAATTATTTATCTAAAAGTCAGATTTAACCAGGCATCCTCTATTTATCTAGCAATCCTACTTCTAGTGCTTAAGGCAGTATCTGCATCTTATAGAATAATTGTGACTTAGTTCCTCCCGGTCATCATCAAAGTGCTAGGAGAGAAGAGCCATGGTTTTCCAACTCTAAGATTTGCAAGATGGTAGATCTTAATCACTCTCTCCTCTCCAGTGACAAACCCACCATGATGATGGTGATGATGATCATTGCCCCTTAGCAAGATCATTGCCTTAGCCCCTGTATAGGCAGGTAGTGGGCAAATACACTCTCTTGTCTTCATGTCAGTGCTGCAGTGTAGGGAGGTGGCTAAATCTTACCCCCATTTTTAAATGAGTACACCGAGCACCAGACAGGTAAAATAACTTTCCCTTAGACAGCAGCTAGGGAGGGTAGTAAAGCTAAAACTCAAACACAATCCTTCCTCTTTCCATAGTGCATTTTGCCTCCAACTACCAAAAATGCATTTTGTCATTTTCACAAACCTGAAGACGGCAAAGTATATTCCCCAGCATCCCAGTTTCGCTGTGGTCCCCCTGACTCCAGTCTATGAATAACGAGAGTTGTACTAGTGTGCTAGGGCTCCCACACCGAAGTACAAAGCGGCACAGACTGGGCAGCCTGAACAACAGAAATGTATTTTCTCACACTTCTGGAGGCTGGAAGTTCAAGATCAAGGTGCCAGCAGGGCTGGTTCCTTCTGAAGGCTGTGAGGGAAGGGTCTGTTGCAGCCCTGTGGTGGCTAATTGTGTCTCCACCTGACTGGGCCATGGGATACCCAACTTCTCAGTGTGTATGTGAGGGTATTTCTGGAAGAAATGCACCCATTGTGGATGGCCACCATCTCATTCTTTGAGGGCCTGCATAGAAAAAAAAAGTGGGAGAAAACTAAGTTGGTCTCTCTGCCCAAATGCTTGAGTTGAGACATTGGTCTTCCCCTGGCCATGGACTGGGACTTATACCTGCAGAACTCCGGCCTACTAGGCCTTTGGACTGGGACTGGAATTCACACGGCCAGCTTTCCTGGGGCTCCCGCTGGCAGCCAGCAGGTCACACCACTTCCTCACGTGAGCCAATTCCTTATAATAAGGAATTGCCTACTAACAAGGCCTCTCTCCTTGGTTTGTAGATGGTCTTCTCCCTTATGTCCATACCTTCTTCCCTCTGCTCATGTCTGCGCCCAGATTTCCTCTTCTTATAAGGGCACCAGTCATACTGGATTAGAACCTACCCTAATGACCTCATTTGAATGTAATCACTTCTTTAAAGGCCCTGTCTCTAAATAGGGCCTAATTCTAAGGAACTGGGGGTTCGGGATTCAACATATGAACTTGGAGGGGAGACAAAATTCAGCCTATAACAGGGTTTGTGGAGCTACCTGTAATGCAACCCAATACAGTCTGTTTTTAAAAGAGGGACCCGGGGGGGGGGGGGTCGCCTGTGCGGCTCAGTCAGTGAAGTGTTTCCCTCTTGATTTTGGCTCAGGTCATAATCTCATGGTTTGTGAGATCGAGCCCTATGTTGGGCTCTGTGCTGGGCTGGGAGCCTGCTTAGGATTCTCTCTCTCCTAGGATTCTGCCCTCCCCCACCTCAGTAAATAAACATACACACATAAATATAAAGGAGGAACCCAAGGGAAGAGATTTCAAATGGTGGTACTCTGGATTTCAAGTGGGGGAATTCTAGCTTTGAAAGCAGTCCCTAGGGTGGCAAAAACTCATCCAGCAGTTCTTAATCCTGGACCTCAAAGGTGTGTCACACCCCTTGCCAAAGGGGCCCTAGCAACTAGTAGAATGTGGGTTATTATGAGAGCAGGGCATTGTGATGGTGGCCCGGCTGTGGAATCCAGTGAAACCAAATGTCAGCACCTCAAAAGATGTCCTTTGGCCCCAGTTGGCAGCATTGTGGTTTTCTGGATGGCAGCAGAGGACAGGGAATCAATGGAAGCCCGGGGAGCGGGAGAAAGCTGTCCAACCTTCCCCAAGGTGGTGCCTGGTGACCCCATGTCTGAAGGGAAGTCAAGGCCTTCTTTGGTAAGGGGGGGGGTACCTCATGTCACTGCCCCAGCCTGTCCCTACATGGGGAGGACAGTGTTGTGGGAACACGTGAATAGGAGCTGAGTACTAGAGGAGCCCAGAGAGCGGCTACCAAGACAGGTGATGTGCATCCCACCCCCACAACAGGCCCCCAGCTCTCACCAGGGACCAGGTAGCTCTTGATAAGACTGTGAAGTCACGCAAAGCTGGCTTTGGTCTCTCCCATCCAGCACCCCATTCAGGGTCCTTGCCTCTCTCTGTGAATGGGACCTGGCCACCCCCATAGCCTTTTCTGTTGGTCCCCTACGTTGAGGTTCCTCCCTCTGTAGCCCAGGGAGCACCCAGTGTGTAACTGGTCTCAAAGTTAGATAGACTGGGGGGTAGGAAAGTTTCACTCGTGGTGATTTGAAAGTTATCAGGAAGACTGGCTTCTACCTCAACGCCCCAAGCCTCCCCTTGCAACTCCCGGGTGCCATTCCTTCCCTCAGTGCACCCTGTCCTTCCCCGTAACTCTCGGGTCCTGATAGCTCTGGTTAGAACTCAGTCTAGATCCTTACAGGTCATAGCCCTCTTTCACACGCCCCGCCCACTGTGGCCCGGGGCTGCGGATGTGCGGTGGGGGCTGGGCGCTGCCCCAGGGCCACTCCTCACTGGCCCCGGAGTCACCCCTTCGCTGCTCCAGGAGGCCGAGTCCCCGAAGCCAGACTCTTCCTACGACTACCTGGAGGAGATGGAAGCTTGCGAGGACGGAGGCGGCTCGGGGCCGCCCAAGTCCCTGTCCTCGAAGGCCGCTCCCATCGCCAAGGGCCAGGCAGGGGACGGACCCGAGCTCGAGGAGCTGCCTCCGGCCCTGGCCGCCCCCGGGACGCCGGGACCCCAGTGCAAGGCCGAGATGGAGCTGGAGAAGGTGCGCATGGAGTTCGAGCTCACGCGGCTCAGGTACCTGCATGAGGAGAACGAGCGCCAGCGGCAGCACGAGGAGGTGATGGAGCAGTTGCAGCAGCAGGCCATGCCCCGCCTGGTAGGTGCCGGGAAAGTGGGGGCGCTGGCCAGCGGCCCGCAGGTCCCGCTGCGTGGCGAGGCCGCCTGACCTGCCTCACCCCTACACCCGGCCCGGGGCCAGAGATGGGCTGCTGGCTGCTTTAGAGCTGCCCTGCTAGGCTGAGATCCACTCTTTAAGGAGAGTTGACCCTGACCCTCGAGGGGCCCGGGAACCACCCGTCTACCCACCTGTCCCCAGCTTTCCTTCTCAGGGAAAAGCCTTTTACATCTTTGCACCACTCTCTAGTCCTCTCTGCCTTTCATGTAAGAGACCTGAGCCCTACTGCAGCCTGGTCAGTGCATTTTGATAAAATCATCACCTTCTTCCCCTCATCAGAGCTGCTCTGGTTCTGTTGGATTGCTCTGCCTTGTTGCCAATGAAAACTTTGACATCTTGTGGCAAGGAATGGGCTGCTCTCCCCTAATCTGTACTAAATGGAGATAAGAAAGACTATTCTTGATTAAATGGGATGCAAAGGGCTTAGCACTGTGTGATTGGGCCACCACAAGTCCTAAATTATGAAAGATGTCATTGTTTAAAGCACGTTGCCTGGGCTTTAAAATCAGACAGTCCTAGGTTAAAACTCTGGCTCTCTCGTGTATAAGCCGCGTGACGTTGGGCAAGTTACGAATCCTCCTTGAGCCTCACTTTGCTCATCTTTAAAGTACCTACCTCATAGGGTTGTAGCAAGGATTCGGTAATAGGCTGCGTGTGAGGCGTTTTGCAATGAGCCTGGCACATTAGGTAAGCTATTACCGTTTTTATGTACTCACGCAATTCACTCCTTGACCCAAATGCAACAACTTACATTCATCACTTTGCAATTTTATTGGGATGTAATGTATTAGCCATGCTTCCCAGCTCTGAGTCATCCTCAATTCTGAGAAACTTGCCTTCTGTCTTTATCCAAATCATCGCTGTAATTGTTTAGGAGGATATGACCTAAAGTAAATACCACTGAAAGATCTCCCTACAGGTTAGCAACGTTCCATTAATCAGCACCCTTAAGTTAACATTTCATCCAGCTCACATTTCTCTGCCTTGTCCAAAATAACTATCTTGAGACACGCCATCAAATGGTTTCCCAGAATGAAGACATTACACTACCTCTAGCATTTCCCTAATTGACGGGTCATTTTTTTCTTTTCTTAAGAAAAATGGGATTGGTTTTGCATGATTTGTTTTCAAGGAACACATGCTGGCTTTTAACAATCATTTTTTTTTTCTTGCTCACAAAATACCTGCTTAATTATACATCGAATGGTTTTGCTGAGCCGAGTCAAGCTGATGGAAGTAGGATCTCCAGAATCCCATCTTCTTTACGCCCGCTCGCCTCTAAGATTCTGGCACATTTCCTGAGAGTTTTGATTTCTCACAAATAAGTTCCATGTCCAAGCTTGGGGTTTTAGTCTCAGTATCCTGGGGTAAAATGTGTCCCAACCTGGAGTCTAAAACTACTTAAAGCCCCTGTGGTTAAGGTACTGTGCCTTTGCTCTATGCCTCCTTCTAGCCATCTTTGTTTTCCCTATTTTGGTTTGAAAAGCTTACTCTTGTTGGATGAGCTGGAATCCCTGGGTGTATGTATAGTCCTATCTGCTGTCTGTCTTCTGCTCAAAAGATAGACCATTGAAAGTGCTGTGAAGAGTCTGAAAGGTTTCACAAATGCATGTTTGGTTGTCAAAATCATAATTATCACCCATCAGCCTTTCAGACGGAAAGCACATGCTGGCTGCTTTTGGCCACTGGAAATCCACGGACCCAGAGCCGTAGCAGGTCTGCAGGTGCCTAGTAGGGTCGGTGCAGCCTCCCCTCCCGCCAGAACACTGGGCTTCTTCCTCTGGTCTTCAGCCTGCCTTGCTATTCGTTTCAGAAATGGCATCACCAGAGTCATTTCCTTTATCTGCCCTCACATTTTATGTGGTTGCTCCAACAATGGTGTGTCCCAAACCGCTGTCTTTGGTGATAGTTACAAAAGTATTTCATATGTTGTGCATTTACTGACAGGTGGAAAGCTGACTTGATTGTTTTTTTTTTTTTTGTGCCAAAATATTTTTAACTTTAATGAAGATTTTTGTTTTTGTTTTTGTTTTTTTTACAGATAGTTTATTGTCAAGTTGGTTTCCATATAACACCCGCTGCTCATCCCCACAAGTGCCCTCCTCCATGCCCGTCTCCCCCCTCCTCCCCCACACCCATCAGTCCTCAGTTTGTTCTCAGCATTCAAGAGTCTCTCATGGTTTGCCTCTCTCCCTCTCCCCCACCATTTCCCCCCTTCTTCTCCCCCATGGTCCTCAGTTAAGTTCCTCCTATACGTGCAAACATATGATATTTGTCCTTCTCTGCCTGACTTATTTCGCTCAGCATAACACCCTCAAGGTCCATCCATGTTGCTACACATGGCCAGATTTCATTCTTTCTCATTGCCATGGAGTATTCCATGGTATAGATAAACCACATCTTCTTGATCCATTCGTCCGTTGATGGACACTTAGGCTCTTTCCATGTTTTGAGCTGACTTGACTTTTAAGCCTCCTCCCCACTCTCTCTTCTGGATGAATGGGTACGTAGATCGATTTCATTGTATTGAAAAGTATCTCTGTATGTTTCTAGCTAGCTGAGGGTATCACAGCTCCTGCCATCTGCCTGCTTACAAAAAAACATGGCAAGATTTTAAAAGATATTTCAGAGAATAAACCATGGGTGATGCCTTCTTAGCTATAGATCAAAATAGTTATATCAGCTTTTTTGCTGTACTTCGATGTTGATGCTCTCTACTGTCAAAATGGAGGCTTGTTGGATCTCAATTCTATAGAGTCCAAAAATGAGCAGCAAGGACACAGGCAGAGTCAGCCAGACCTAACTCGAGCTGCTTTCCTCCAGCTCAATACCGTGAGGGTTTGGGGAGGTGTCTCCCCACAGGGAGACCCAAGCTTAGGCTGATAGGCCACAGATGGACCCCGTGAGACATATGCCAGGACAAGAGATCAGAAACAGTCACTTGCGCCCAAGGACGCCCTCTCATTGTGCCGCCGTCCAGAAAACAAGGCCGAGTGTCAGGGCGAACCGTCCAGAGAACATTCCCAAGAACCCAGCATCCAGATCTGGGGATCTCAGAGTCAGAGAGAGACTGCCGCCTGTGTGGCTCGGCCGCAGCACGGGACGCACAAAGAAGGGAAGGTGCCACCTGGCGCCTGGCTCAGGAAGGCTCAGGGCAGACTCGGGAAGTGAAAACCCCGAAGTTCCTGCACATGCCGGTGACCTCACCAGGAATGGCTCAGCTCTTGGCCCACTCTTCCTCTCGCGGTCTTGCAGGAGGGCGGGAGGCACCTTTCCTCGGGGGAGGAAGACAACCTGCCCCAGGTCCCACTCCGGAGGGGACAGGAGCAAGACGGACACAGAGACCTGCCTGGCGCCGGAGCCCGGTTCGGCCAGCCCCTCTCTCTTCTTTCCCCCACAGTTCTCGGGAGGCCTCCAGGACCTCCTGCTCCCCCAGAACCAGTTTGCCATGTTCCTGTACTGCTTCATCTTTATACACATAATCTATGTCACCAAGGAGATGGTCTTCTTCCTCTTCTCCAAGCACTACCTGTTCTGCATTGCGGCCATTTTGCTCTGTTTGATTAAAACTTTATGGTCCTATTTCCAGGTGCTTTTGCTCCCTCCGTCACTGGGAACCTCCATGCTGGACGGTAATTAGGACATGATCCAAGTTGGTCCGTGGCCTCCCCTCCTCCTCCTTCCCTCACAGGAGGCTCCCTCCAATCAGAACTGGCTGTTAGGAAAGGCTCTGCTATCAACCATTTACATGTTAGTGTGAAGAAATGTGTTCAGGCCTTGTTCTAAGCCTGAGTTCTCAGTCTGATTGAAGATACTTCATGTCCTAAGAGGAGGAGTTTAGAAGTTATCAAGCTAGGGAGGTATCTAGAGAGAGAAGGGGTTTAGAAAGCCTTTCCAGAATCACAGAAATCATACTATGACCAGGTTGGTTTGGGATCCACCACATCTACTCACTTGCATAGATCTTCTCCGAGGTGGGGGCTGCCGCAGCAGGCCCGGGATAAGGCCCCCAAAGATGCACATGTCCCAATCCCCAGAACCTGTGAATACTCACCTTACATAGCAAAAGAGACTCTGGGATGTGATTAAAAGGCCTTACCATGGGGAGATGAGCCTGGACTATTCCACGGGCCCAACGTAATCACAAGGGTTTTTTACAAGAGGGAGACAGGATGGTGAGCGTCAGAGAAGGAGATATGACCTCGGAGAAGGGGAGGTAGGAATGAGCCGAGGAACGCAGGCAGCCTTTTAGAAAAGGCACAGAAATGAATTTTCTCCGAGAGCCACCAGAAAGAACGTAGCTCTGCCAACCCATTTTAGACAGACCTGTAGACCACCAGCACTGTGAGGGAATAAATCTGAGTTGCTTTCAGCCACGAAGTGGGTAGTACTGCGTTACAGCAGCAGCAGGGAACTCATACGGGAGCCAAGACTCCTCAAGCTCTTTCCAGTTCTGCAAACATGTCAGGAGAGCAGCACAGGCCACGGGCTAGAGTCCGTTTAACACTGGGCATGAGGAGGACTGCTAGGGGCCTGCCCTCAGGCAACAGGCAGTCGGGAGAAAGCCTCTGAAGCCCCAGGGAGCCCAGGATGGGCCTATCCCTACCTTTGAGCAGTGCCTGCTCCCAGGGAACCGGGGAAGGGGGCTCAAACGCCTGACCCCGCCTGGAGCAAGTCTGCAGTGCTCCTGAGTGAAAAGTAAGAGGAGAAAAAAAACAAACAAAAAACAGGCCACACAGCTCAACCCTCAAATCCCAGACACACACGCACACACAGACACACACGCAGATGCACAGCAAATAAACAGAGACACACATAATCCCCCACCCCCAAATAAACAGGCGGCAGCAATGGAAAGGAGCGGACCTTGAACATTAGAGGGTCCAGAATAGGCACAAGATGGAGTTCCCAGTATGTATATAACAAAGAGTTTAACTCCCCCATCGCCAACACCCTACCCATCCTCTAACACACACCACACACACATACACACACCACACACCCACACCACATACCACACACACATACACACACCCCAAACACACCACTAGTAGCCATCAGCTGCTCCGGCCGCACCAGCCCCACGGGGGAGGACTGGGACCTGGCTAAGGCACAGGACGCCCTCGGGAAAATGCAGCAAACGGAACGAGGGTGGACAGAGTTCTGTTATCAGTCAAGTCTGTCATAACCCCTCCTCTTCTGGAGCACAGAGCTCGGCCCGAAGAAGGACGAAAGAGTAGGTTCTGTCTCATTGGGCTCCGTGATTGATACTCAGTGGAGACACAGGAAAAAAAGAGCAGTGCCCTGGGATTCGGTGTCAGTACACATTATCGTGCCATCTAAGTCTGTGGTGACTCCTCACCCCCCACCCAGGTCAGGGCACCCACTCCCATTCACAGCTGCATGTGCCGGTTATTTACCTGAAAGTCAGAAAAGTCTCGTTTCTCATCAAACCCTGAATGATAGGCTATGGGCCCTCTCTCAGTCATCTTATTTGATCTGGGCTTCTGGGTGGGGGGTGGGGGAGACTGAGGTAGGAGGAGAAGGAAGTCAGGATAGCAGAAAGTCTAAGACCCGGGTATTTGTTATAGCAGATGGAACTGGGAGTTTGTGAAATATACCAAGTGCTGCAAAGCCGTTTAGTTCATCGCCCTATTGCCAGGTAAACGGGACTTAAATACATCCATTTTCCTTACAGATCTTCAGAGGAAGACTTAATTATTTCCCTTGATCAGTTAAGTTAGCATCTCATAAGGTAGCATCCCATCTTTACCAAGGGGCATAATATCTTCCTTCTATTCCTCCTCCTATGGCTGAAGACTGAAGCCCATAGTGTCAGATATGCCCTCTGGGAAAATGAGAACAGCTCATGGTCACTCCTCAAACTTGGTAACGTTCCCCTGGTTCAAATTCAGAGCAGAACATCAGAAGGGAGAGAGATGAAGGTGAAGAGAGTCGCACAGGATAGGAAGAAGGCACAGCCGCGGCGTTACCAAGCAGACAAGTCAACATCCAAGCATATCTTGAACACCTCCAATGTGCCAGGCACTTGGCTAAATGTTTTATGGAGACGATCTTCACCAAAACCCTGGGAGGAACACATGCATACTATCTCCATTTCACAGATAAGGATACTGAGGCTCAGGGAGGCTAAATGACTTACCTCAAATCATCTTAGATCTCAAGTCTGACTCCCAAGCACATGGCCTTTCTACACAACCATGCTCCCATGACCCTGCCTTGAAGGATTTCACAGCCTTGCTGGCAAGATGAGGTTAACATACACGAAAATGTAAGGACACTGTCAGCACACAGACCTCAGTGATGAAGGACATCAAAGGAGAGCTCCCTGGAGCCCAGGATGACAGGAAGACTCCTCAAAAGAGCAGCCCACAAGAGCAGGGAAGCCTGGGACAGGCAGAAAGGAGGAGAGGGAAACCACAGAAACCTAGGTCAGGGCGGAAGTGTATACAGTGTGCAGAAGAAAGAGAAGGCTCATCCTGCTCCAATACATGGTGTGAGGGGTAAGAGGCCTGGAAAATTGATAGAAGACCAAATGTTATGGTCTTGAATGTTGGTCTAAGGAATATGAATTTAATCCCTTGGGAAACAGGGAATCCTTCAAGATTATAGAGTGAGATAGAAACCTCCCTCCCTCTGCCAAATAAAGGGGAAAAAATATTTCCTTTCCCCCTCAGGACCATGTTCTTGCCTTGACCACCTGGAGGACTGCATTCAGCTGTAAAAGAAACTCAGCCATAACAGCTTAACCAGATAGAGATTTATGTTTATCACATACTAAGAAGCCCCCAGTAAAACAGTGTGTGACTGGTGAAATTGCTCTAGGAAATTAGAGGGGACCCAGGCTAAACACTCCACCATCCTTAGCACTCAGCTTTTTTCCTTCCCACCCCATGGCCTTCAGCCCCATGATCATAAAATGGTTGCTGCCGCTCCAGGTATCACATCCACAACTCCAGGTCAGAGAAGAGAGGAAAGAAAAGGGGCAGCTTTTAAAAGCTTTCTAGAAAGACTCACCTAGAGACTTCTGCTTACATCTCATTGGTCAGACTGGGTCATGTGGGGGCTCCTAGCTGCAGGTTATCTGAGGCGGTAAGTTTCTTACCTGGGCACTATTGCAGCCTTGAACAAAATTAGGATTCTGACAATGTGGGGGGAGGGCGAGATATGGATATTGAATAAGCAAATAACTATGTCTACCATACCCTGCTTTCTAAGACCCAGCTTCCATCTCAGCCCTGCGCTGGTCTTTGGTGGGGTTGAGACATGGGTTAGGGACACAGTCCGGGCCTGGCCGACTGCAGCACTACTGCCCTAAGGCCTCATTCACATACCACAGCAGGAAGGTCACAGACCTTTTCTCTGGACACATGACTAGAGCAGTTCTGCCTGCCTTCATCCTCCTGACCTCTGCTTGAGGTCCCACGGCCATACACATTCAGGACAGCAGCCCTGGCGGGGCGGGGGGGGGGGGCTAGGAGGGTACACCCCTCTGTGCTGAGTGCCCTCAGCAAAGCTGCAAGAGACAAGTTTGCTCTTAGAGTCCCTGCCCCTCCTGAGTCCCAGATTCCACAGAACTGAGCCCAATGCCTCCACCCCCCATCTCTCTGGTCAGCCCCCTCGCACGGAGCCGCTAAAGACAGGGTGTAACAGATCCTACACCTTACAAAGGTCCGCTCAGCTTTAGTCCAAGCAATCAGCACTAATAGTAAACTTTCAGGCAGGCTTGGGGAGGGAAAGATGGAAGAATGGGAGTCGCCACCCCAAACCCAAGGACAAAACCCGAATCCTGGAGACTGCTGGCGTCTGCAGGAGGGAAGAGGAAACAGGCTTGGTCCCAAAGGCCACTTCCTGGCGCTTTCTCTAACCCCACTTGAGCAGGTGACTGCAGGCAAATTGGTTAAGATTTCTAGGCTTCTTTCGGATGACCTGTAAATTACCGAAACTCTTACTCAGTTTGGGAGAGAAAGGACCAAAGTCTAGGGTCTGACTTCAGAATTCTGGTTTAATTGATCTGATCTGGGTTCAGTCGCTTCAAAAGTGCCCCAGTTGATTGCAATGTGCAGCCGTATTGTAAAACCTAACTCCTGGCTCCTCGACCTGTGATCTGAAGACCGGCAGCGTCAGCATTGCCTGGGGCATCACAGAAATGCAGCATCCCAGCCCCCGCTGGCCAGACCCCACTGTGACAGCGCCATTTAACAATATCCCTAGGGATTCTCAGGAGAAGTATTAGTCTAGGTGACGTGATTCAATTCGGCCTGTCCTCTGTTACGAAGATACAGCTCTTGGCCTGGAAGATCTTCCAGAAGGGGCTGTGGAGGCAAGATAGGTAGGAGAAAGAAGACAACCAAGGATGTAGCCCCTAGAAGTGCTGGAGGGGGAGGGGCCCGGGCCCGCAACATCTGGCACAGCCCAGGGTGGCCTTGCATCTGCCCCTCCTCCCCCTGTGCCTTTTCATGAACCGTGGCTCTGGGCTTCCGAGGAAACAAATGATTTCCCCCAGCACTCAGGGATTTACGAGAAACTTCCGGAATCCCCCCAGGCCTGTCTCTGCCTCTGTCCCTTTTTTGATCTAGCTTCTGTGTGTGGAGCTTGGGAAAATCTTGCTAATACACA